ACCAGAGACATTTTGCAGGGGTGGAGTGGAGAATGGGATCAAAAACGGGGGGGGGGAGGGGCGCAGTGCACGGGATTATGGTGATGGCACATGGGTGACATGGTGATGGGAAACCCACGGGGATTACATCTGAGATGGAAAAAAAAATGTACAAAATGATATAAAAAATAAATTGTTATAAAATAATAATAATAAGTGGGCATTTGGTCACTCAAAACTGCTAATATGCCAAGAGTTAATCATGCTGACCTAAGTCTTCATTGTTACTTCCTTTACTTTCCCCTTCCAACAGCCAAACTCTGGGAGATCAAACTTCTATAGCATGTTAAAAGCAGATTAAGAAGAAAAAAAAAAACCACCTAGGATAATGTAATTAAAAATTAAATCACATGAAGCAACTCTTTGAAAGCCCATATTAAATAAATCAGTCAGAATTTAAGTCTGAAAGACTAAAATGATGAGTGGAAATTATCTAGAGCAATGGCTTAAGAATCAGTGAAACCTTAACTGAATGGCAGACCTGGGTAAGACGGACAGACCCAAGTGTGAAACCCATCCTCACACCTTGTAGGCCTGACCCTGGGCAAGTTACTAAAATTTCTTTAACCGCATTTTCTTCATTTGTATAAAGGTGGTAAGGAATTTTGTGAGAATAAATGAGGTAACATGGAAAGCGTTTATTGATCCTAACACTAAAAAGTCCAATTAATGCTAAAAAAATGAAAAGGTTACCTTGCATTTTCCATTGCACTGGAGGATGAAGCTAGTTTTTCTTCCAGTATTGCGACCTTCTTTGTTAGCTTAGCCTCTCTATCTTCTGCAGCCAAAGCTTCCCGGGTATAAGAATCTTCTGTTTCTAAAAGATGGTTACGCAATCTCTCTAGCTCCTGGTTTAACCGTACTTCTTTGTCACGTAAATGTTGAACCTAGGCAGAGTACATTTCTTTATTTTTCATGGATAAAATGCTCCTTTTCTTCCTGTACCAGGTACTTTGTTATTAAATTTTTCTCACATGTTCAAGTGTATAAAGTGAACATTAATTTTCATACTACTCATGTGGAAGCTTTGCTTTTTAAGATCATACCCTGTGGTTAAAATGTAAAATAGAATGTTAAAACATACTAAGTTTTATGTGACAAATCACTTTTTCAGTCAACTTCATTTTACTGTATTTTATGTGCAGGAAATTTCTCTTAAATCCAGAATATGCCCTGGTTTTCCTTTTGAAGTTGAAATAAAATGTACTCTGGGAAAGCAAAATTCTACTATAGTTCATGAGATTAAGAAACAAAATCACCTAAGAACCATTATTTAACAGTTATTAAACCTGTTTAAACAGCTGTCTTTAAAGTAAAAATATACCTCATTCTGGATGGCACTGTTTTCCATTTGCTTCTGCTTCAAAGCCAACATGACTTGATCTCTCTCCTGCTGAAACACAACTGTCTTCTCCTGCATTGACTTAACAGCATTTAAAAGCTGATTTAACTCCCCAGTCTTGCCCTTTTGGGAAAAGAAACAACTTTAGCTTTAAAGAAAAATACATTTGACAAAAAATACATTTAGAGAACAATTTCTTCATCAATAATTTTAAAATCTAGTAACCATACCCAGGTCTTCAGAATCAAGAAAAAACCGAGAAACTGTCTAAAGGAGTCTAAGGAAACATGATGACAAATAATGTGGTTCCTGCCCAGAGCAGGGAAAGAACATCTGGTTAAAAATTAAAGTTCATAGGATGAATTTTAATAGGATGAACTTCCACAGCACCATGAAGCTATGGATCAATACTGGATCAATACTGGTTCATCAATTTATATTAATAAGAGAAACTGAGTATGAGGTAGACTAGAACTCTTCTGCTATCTAACAACTTTTCTAATAATCTAAAACTATAGATTCTAAAGAAAATGCTTATTCAAAATTTTTTTTTAAACTCTATAGACAGAATCTTTTTAAATTTACCTCACAGAACAGTGTGTTCACAAACCCCACAATCACCCAAGAGAGTATGGAAGAGATACAGGAGGGAAGGAGAGGGACAAACTGAGATCCCATCCATCAGGCACCAGCAACTGTTGTTAAGAGAGAGTAAAAGTGGCTGATAGGAGAAAGTTTTTGCCAAGTTAATGAAAATCAATTTTCGAATTGGTATCTTGTTGATGGTTGTGAAAGCCAATTCCTGAATGCATTCCACTGAGCACAATATGTCAGCAACAGCCGGAAGCACACAGCCGTCCCTGCAGAAGCAGGGTGATGAATTTACAACGGCCTCTGAAGCTCCAAAAGGCATCAGAAAGTGCAGGCTCTTCTTTTATTTTCAGTATGTATACCATAGGAATTTAGTTTTGTGTTATTTAAAATTTTCATGTAAACTGCCCCTTTAAGAATATATAACGAACTGTTATAAAAAAAAATTAAAAGGGAAAAAAGAAAAAAAAAGAATATATAATGTCTTGGGCCCTCCCTAGTGGTGCAACAACCTCAGGCACAGCACCATGAAGCTATGGCAGCCACCATAGCACCAGTTCAATTCCTGGCCAGGGAGTGACCCATAAGTAATGGCAGACCTCTCCTGACCTGCCAGCTGCTCCCCTCGGCAGTGTATTTCATCAGTTGGTCTGTTCTGCTGCCCACTTGGTCTCTGGTGAATCTTCTCACCCCCCACACCTCTGGCATATACCCCAGCTCTGTATGCATAACTAAAAAAAACCTTTTCTTTTAAAAAAGAAAAAGAATATATAATGTCACTTTTTCTTTTAAAAAAGAAAAAGAATATATAATGTTACTGGGACAAATCATAGAAACCAAGTTGTAAAATCATCATTTCCTTTTATCTGATCATCTCCCCTCCTCCCAGATGAGGTTAATATTTTACAAATAGTTTTTCAGGTAAAATTTTCTCATATTACAGAGAAAGAACAAATGTTAAAGAAACAGAGTTGAAACTCTCCTGTTGACAACTTCTCTTTTTCCCTAATAAAATAAATAAATAAATAAACAGTATTTGTTCTATTCCAAAATATTCCAAAGGTGCTCTTCAAGTCATAAGAGTACTGGAAGAAATTAGTTTACATGAACCAACTGCAAGTAATACAATGCAATACCTAAGTATTTCTTTACTAATTCTGGGAAGCATCTTGAAAAATAGCTGACTTCTAACAAAATCTGCACACTTCAGACCTATAAATGCCAATGAAGTAGAACTAAATTATAGAAGATGCTAGAACTGCAAAAGGGGCAAAAAAAAAAAAAAGTATAAATCAGACTACATCATCGTTCTACATTCCTTTTGTTATACTCTTTCAACTTGAAGATGTTATGCCCAATTCTGGCTAGTGGGCATTTCTATTCCCCAAGAGTGTCACCGCAACAGCAGACCACAAGAAGTTAAGAAGCGCGCCTAGAGGACGACACTGCAAGACTCAGTGGTCCTGCTTCACCAGATGGCAATGAGGGGAAAGCGAGGTAAGACCTCTCTTATCAAGTGAAAGCTGAACTGATTGTTCCCAAACTTTAACCCAAAGCTCTATGTAATTGTCAAAAAAAGCCAATCATTTGATAACTTGTGCCTGGCAATGTGTAAACATTTGAGAAGCATTTATTGAATACTCCATAGTTTTATCATTTCTACTCTAATTTTTACTATTAAATATATGTCATATATATTATGTATGTGTTTTTATATCTATGTAGTAAAAAGACATTGCCAATAAAGTCCAAGAGGGCATCTATCATAGTTCTTCCATATATTCTTTTTTTAAAATAACATTTATTTATTTATGCATACAGAACTGGGGTACAGGCCAGAGGCCTAGGTGCGATGCGAGGATTCACCACAGACAGAGTGGGGAGCAGAACAAGCAGATCGACGAAGTACACTGCTGAGGGGAGCAGCAGGCAGGTCAGAAGTCTGCAGCGCCATGTGGTCACCTCCGGGGCAGGGATCAAACTCATGCTGAAGCGGCTTCAGTTTCTGAATGCTGTGCGTTAGCCCCCTCTGCCACCAGGGAAGGCCTCTTCCATATATTCTTACAATCTAAAATCAACTTCATCAGGTTAAATTCTCAATGCTATGAAGCTATCACTAGCCACTGCAGCATGAGTCTGATCTCCAGGCAAGGAGCGGACCCACATGGCGCAGCATACCCCTCCTATTTCACCCACTGTTCCCCTCTCTATTTCAGTAGATCTGCCTCAGTTGCTGGTGAATCTCCTCACCCCAACCCCAAACCTCGGGCCTACACCCCAGTTCTTGTATGCATAAATAAAAGAAATCTTTAAAAATAAACTTCATGTCAAAATTTTAAAATATCAAAAGCGACCAATACTTTAGGTGTAACTATCACATCTCTCCTCTACTTTACAGTCACACAAACAATCCAGTAAGGTCAAAACACATCCAAAGTCACACCAGTGACAGGGCAGGGATCAGAGTATTTCCAGAACCTACAAGACAATCACTACTCAAGAATAATACTTTTCAAACACCAGGTTGTAGCTTGATGATTCATAAAAGTTGTAAAATCAATTTAATGGTTCATCCACAGCATTTTCTCTTTTTTCAAAGAGTATCATATGTAGTAAGGTTAATTTCTGATTCCTGAAACTTTTGTTTTACATACACAAATGCTGCATACAATTACTTACTATGCCACAAAGCATATACTTACTGCAATTTGCTGTCAAGACATAGCGTTTATTTCACACAAAGTTTCCCTTTAGACCCCCTAAGTATCAATTATCTTGAAACATACCTAAATTTGGTTGAACTGCAGTGCCTTCAAAATTCCATCTTTCAACATATTTCTATTTTCTAAAGAAAAATATTAGAGGCTACTAAACTATTTTCAACCTAACAAGCTGAAAATAAATTAACCTAGTAGTAAAAATATTGAGGGAGAAATTTCAAAATGTCTCTGAGGAAAATTTATTTAAAATAAGTCACAATATCCTGAAATAATTATTTTCTAAATGAACAAATTCATATTCCTATTTAAAGACCTCATCAAGGTGACTAACACATTTAAAAATCTCCTCCAACTTCACTCCTCCCTTCCCACAGTGCTCCATTCAGAACATACCTGTTCTTTTTCTTTCAGAAGTTGCTCAAATGCAAGAGCCTTCTCCTTCATTGAATGACACTCAAATTCTTTTTCCCGAAGCATCATAGAAAACTTTGTATTAGTCTCTTGTAATGCCTGATACTCTGTTTCCTTCCCTTTGAATGTTTCTATAATTTTTTCATTTTCTCCTTTTAGTTTACAAATGTCCATTTCTAAAATTAATATTCTCTCCTTTAGGTTTGTTACTGCTTGCCTTAAGAGTTCATTTTCATTAACTTTGTTAGTGAAATTTTCATTTAAAGAAAGTAACTGATCACTTCTGGCTTTGATCAATAGGTCTTTTTCTTTAAGTGACTTCTGCAAAACATCTTGCTTCTCCTTCAGCTGCTTAATTTCTGAGTCCGTTTGTTCATGCTCTTTTCTTTCAAGCTCTGTTGTAGCAGCGATTGAATCAGACAATCTGTGGTTATTTTCCTGGAGAGTTCTAATTGTTGCCTCTTTTTCTTGCAGGGACTTTCTTAGCTCTTCTATCTCTTGTTGAAACAATTTAGAAGAGTTACTCGGTGATGAATCACATTTAATTGTTTGAAGAGACTCTGCTGGCTGAACAGCAAGTGATGGCCCAGATGAGAGCTGAGGTGAAATGATGTCAAGTTTTCCTAAGAGAAGATCTTTGGTGTTACAAAGCTGGCCTATGCTGTGCTGGACTTGTGCTAACTCCTGCCCAAAATTTTTCAGCTTGGTTTCATTCTGCTCATAGCTTTGAATCAGGCCAGTATAGTCCACCTGTAACTTAGAGTTGTTATCACTGTCGACTAGAACTTGGGCCTGAAGCAGATGGAGCTCCTCCTGAAGCTGGGCTGACTCGTGCTGCATATTTTGGACAGTGGTCATCACCTGCTGCTTCCACTCTTCCATTTTCTTTACTTGCTGTTTTAATTTGTCACGTTCCTGAAGAAGTTCCTCAAATTGATTACTGTTAACCCCTCCGGCCTCGTTACCAGCGGTGGATGTTTGCAACACTGTCAATAAGGTCTGACATTTTTGAGTTAATGCATCAATTTCAATGTCTTTTTCACGAATGATACGTGACAAATTCTGGACAGTTTCTCTAAACATGTCTTGACCACTACTTTCAAACCTAGTTGACAATTTTTTATTTTCATCTTGCAGCTTAATGAGGGCTGCTTCTTTGGCAGCAACTATGTCCACCATTTTGTGGTATTCTGACTTTAGCTTGCTGTTTTCCCTTGTTTTCTCATTCAAAACGGCTACGATTTGCTCTCTCTCCATAGCACATGTCTGCAGCTGCTGCTGAAGGTAAGCAACATCCTGGGTATAGGGAGTTGAAGAAATTCTTGCGTGAAGAGCTTGAATCTCCACATCTTTCTGCTGTATAATCTGAGTTAATTTACCCACCTCATCTTTGGATAGCTGATCAATCTGTTTAGTTAAAGATTTATTCTTTTCATTTAGAAGTTTAATCTCTAATTCTCTTTCTTTTAGTCCTTTTACTAATCGTTCCGTCTCAGCTTTAGATAAATCATGTTTTTCACTTCCATTTTCTATATTAAGGCTCTGCACTTTCGTTTCTTGAAAAATAACAGAATTTTCTGTGTGAATGTCCTGTCTTTCATCATGCAACTGAGTTTTGATTTGTTCAATTGTTTTCTGCAAATTTTTGATTTCCTCATCTTTCTCTAAAAAAAGCTGGGTATGTGTGACATTCATTTGTTCATGCTGGTATTTAAATTCATCCATTTCCTTTTTCTGCTCTTGTAAAGACTGAAGTAGTTGCATCTTACTCTGGTTTTGGTCATCAATTATTTTTTGATGGTGCTTTATTTCTTCTTCAAGATTATCCTTTATTATATTCAGCTGTGACACTTCCGCTTCTAGCTCTGTAATGCTATCCATGGTTTTAGGCTCAGCAACCAGTGCAGTTCGACTTTGCTGCTCCCTGAATCTTTCCAGTTCTTCTTTCAAATGATTATTTTCTTCTTTCATGGATCCAAGACTTTTGTCTTTTTCCTCTATGGTTTGCCTTAAAATATCATTTTTCCTTAAGGCCTCAGTATACTTGTCTTGCAACCCTGAACTTTCTTCCTGAAGTTTTTCAATAAAAATTTCTTTTTCATTTATAAGGTGTGTCAACTGCTTCTGCTCTTCCAAACTAGATGACAAAATATTTTTAGTCTCTTTATGAGCAGTATCCATCTGCTCAATATTTTTTTTGAGTTCTGCTACTTCAAATTCTTTCTCTTGACTGAGTTTAATTAAATGCTCATGTTCCAGCTGTACAGCAGAAGTTCTCAGATGACCTGCATCTGACAGTTCTTCAATGGCTTGCTCATACCTGTGTACTTCTTCAGCCAACCTCATTTTGGCCTGACACAATTCTGTTTCTAACTGTCCATTTTCTATTTTCAGAGCCTCCACAACAGTGTTTTGTTCCAGAGAAAGCTGATTGTTGTGAGTGGTAGATTCCTCCAACTGATGTCTTACATCTTCACATGCTAAAACCAGCTTTTCATTTTCCATCTTGAGATCACAAGCAATCTTTTTAAAATGTTCGTTAAGTTGTTCTATTTCTGAAAGATTTTGCTTTAAATTTCTGACTTCAGCTTCCCTTTCTTTAAGCAAATCATTAACATTACTGCTAGAGTCTTGATTAGGAGAGTGAGTTAACTTACTCCTGACTCTAGTAAGTTCTTCTTCATTTTGTTTAATATGTTCTTTAAGTTCAAAGTTTTCCTTCTGGATATTTAAGTTACTATTTTGTGATTGATTTAGTTGATCTACTAACTCTTCAACTTTACCCTCAAGTTCTTGCTTGGTTAGATGCAAATCATTTAGGACCAGTTCATGTTGCATTAGCTTTTCTTTTTGCATGTTTAACTCTTCAGTGATACTCATTTTATCATCTTCAAGTTGATGAACTCTCTCTCTTTCATCATTTAGATCTCTTTTCAATTCATCGATGATGCTATCACCCTCATTTTGTTGTTTTGATAGCTGATCTTTTATCAAAATCATATGCTGAAAGAAAATGTGCACAGCTTTAAAACATTTTCATTTCAGTACCTAAAGAAAATTTTTTTTAAAAGACCATCCAGAATAGTTACACTCAGATATTCCTAATCCTCTTCAAAATAACTCTTATAAAAATTCCAATAAATTTATTACTGATAAATCAATTTTATTTTATCATTTAAGAGTCAGAATTTAAAACTAAATAAGGTGAACAAGATATGTTATTTATTTTCAACTTTCGAACACTGGACCAAGAGTCCAGACTATATAGTCAACGGGTCAAATCGGGCATGCCACCGTTTTGTAGGTAAAGTTTTACTGGAATACAGCCACAATTAAAGAGTTCATTGAGTAGCTATAATCAAGATAGTCTACAAAGTCAAAAATATTTACTATGAAACATTTTATAGAAAAGGTTTGCCACCTCTCAATGAGCTAAAATAAAATGTAATTAAATCATTTGTCACTCTAAAGATTAGTTCACTAAGTGGAATGAGCTGCCTCATAGTTACCTTTGTGGCTTCTTGGTTCTGTTTGTCCAACTCTTCTATTTCAGCTATCAGTATTTCCTTTTCTTTATTACTCTGATTGAACTCTTGTTCTTTTGCTTCCAAATTAAGTCTTAATTCATGTAGTTCTTTAGTTGCTGTATTTTTAATCACTTCACATTCATTGTTCAATTTTAAAAGTGACTTCTGTAGCTCTTCCTTAATGATAAAAGGGAGAAACACAAAACATATACAAATTCAAATCCAAAGATCAAAAACATAAAAAAGCTTAAAAATCTATTTTAAATGCTCTTTATTGGAAACACTGAATTAATATCCAGCAAGGATATGTAAGCTTAAACAAACTACAGCCTTTATTCATAGAAAATTTTATTTGCAGCAGAGCATTTGCATAAGCAGACAGGAGGCCACAATGACTGAGTTGGCCCGAACAAGTCCAATTTCTTCTTTATACAGAACTCATTCCATCTGAAGCCTTTCCAACCCAAATTCCACTCCTACAACCTCTTCCCCATCTTCTTCCTCCAGCCACACAGATACTTTTCAAAATATTCCAAGTCTCTTGATTCTCTTCATTTCCATTCCTTAATACCCAGGCACCAACAGTCACAGATGACATTAAAATGCAAGAAACTAATATTCACTCACTCTACACTTTAACCACTGATTAGAAAATAAAAGACTTCTGTTCCCTCATCAAAGAAATTTCCCTTATTACAAGCTATCAGAATGTGAGACCTTTCTTGACCCCCCCCAAATACCCTCCCCTCTTTAATTTTCTAACCTGAATACAAGCTCAGTTTCCTTCTCTAAAATCTAACATTCCTAGAGCTATATGTGCACATGATTTTTAAAAATACACTGTGTTTTCTCTTACTGGTGTTTAACAACACTTTTCTTCCAAAATTCCAGAAGTGGGACAAGTTCCCTATTGTCCAACATTATTTCAACCTCTTAATGTGTGTGAAATTATATTATTGTAAAGCTTTTTTTCATTGATAGGATTTTTAAAAATGAAACTTCTATGTTCTCTACTTTAAAAAGTCTCAGCATTCTACCAACTAACATATATGCCTTACAACTGATACCAGCGGAAACACTACTGGAACATCTGTCTCACAATTCTCATTTCTCCTCCCTTGCAATTCAAAAACTAATTTTGAACTGTAGTTGAAGTGCAGAAATAGGACACTCTTATGCCTTTCTAAGGTTATCTGTCCACCAGGAGAGTCACAATTTTTTTTCAGGTGGATCTTAAAAGCAGAGATTTACAGGTACTTTTGGCAGACATAATTCAAGGAAAAGTTACAATGACTTAATTAATATCCAAGACAGTAGAAACAGCTATCAGGGATAGCTGCAGACCCCAAAAGTAGCAGGAGAAGGATAAGGGCACTGTCAGAGATATGCAAATATGCAAACTCCAACACAGAGCTAGGCCAGTTAGAGAAGTGAATAACTGCAAGAGCAAAATGCACTGGGAACAAAAAGGAACAGAGGAACTCTATCCTAAAAAAATAAAAATCACTGGAAGACAGTACGAGTTTTTGGTGGGTAAAAAGAGAGAAAGCATGGATTCTACCACACATGGGACAGAGCACACAACTAAGAATTTTCCCACCTAAATGCCAATAGCATTCATCTCAGAAGCACTGACTACAGACTAATACAGAAAGATGTCGAAAATAAATTATTAAGTTACACATGAACATTATACAGACTATTTTTTAATACTTGTGCTTTTACAAAGGCTATTTATATAATAACCATACATGCAAGAATAGTCTGGAAGGATATACAAGAAATTAGTAAGAAAGCATGCCACTGGGAAAAAGGCCAAGGAATACTGATAGGAAGCATGCTGCATTTCATTCTATATTTTCAGCATGTATTACTAATACATAGGTCAGTCAATGATACACGTGTCACCTTAAAAAAAGTTAATGCTTTCAATTGAGTTGAAACAACACAGCTTAAAACTATCCGAGACTGAAGCACCTGCTGCTGAAGCCAAGGATTAACTCCCAGGTGGCATAAACAAAAGTACTTTTCCCTATACTCAACATCACAGACATACCCAAAAAGCCCCCACAATCCTATCACAGAGAATGCCTCTCTTTCCCAGTCACCCCTCAGAAGTTCCTGTCTGCCACAACAGACACATTCCGGGGCAGTAAACAGCGGCTGGGTGCACAGTGGCTCTGATCCTCCCCACACAGACCTCACCTGGGAATGCTGCTGCTGTGAGGACCACAGCGGAGATGCATGTCAGCTGCTCGCCACTGCTTATCTCTGAATGTGAACTCTGGCCATCTCTGAACGTGACTCATACTCTGAACCTTGCCCAAGAACTTCAACCTGGCCCTGTGGGCAGCGATGAGATCAGCTTCCTAACTCTGGACTGGGAAGAACTCAACTTTCCATTGTGATACAAACTGACCCTTAGCGGTGCTCTCAAATGATTTTAGGTATGCCCAGACTTTATTGCACCCACCTTTTCTTGACTTAATAATGAATTCTCTTTTTCTAAAACTTGAACATGCATTTTAAGTTTCAGATTGTCTTCAGCGAGATTGTTACCCTACAAAAATGTTAAAAAAGTGTTTTCAGAGAACAGTAAATTTCAAGTTTACAATAAAAGCAAGGAAGCTAGAACTGCATTTCCACTTAGTATCTCTTTAATGATACATAAAGATTGTAAACATTCAACAATGAACAATCTACAGTCAACCACTTGATTTTATAGGTAGTTTCTAGACAGTTGATTATATTTGAAACATGTATTTAGAAAATAACTGTAATCATTCAAAAAAGAACCAACTCCCCAAATTCCTTAAGGGAAGCCATATGACTTCCTCACTTGGGTGGAAACTCTGCTTCCACTGCCTCTCTATGAGATATTTCTCAAATGAATATAAAATGAGATGATACTTGCATAATTAGCAAACATAAATTACTAAGAGGAAAGATCCTATAATAAAGTCATCTGAAATTGTATTTAAAAAAAAAATCCCAGAAGCAGCAGCTATAAAAGTTAAAATATTTTCTTCTTGGTAAACCAATGCCAAAAGTTTTCTCTCTTAAAATGAGTTTACCTGGTTTAAATTACTCAATCTCATTATTTCATTTTCAGCATCTGTAAAAACAAATTAATCTGACATTAAAATTCCTTAAAATAACTTATTACCTCCTATAGCAAACTCAGAAATGAAACTCAATTAAAACAGAAGCATAATTAGCAAACCAAACAGTTCTTAGTGAAATGTATTTCCATTTTGCCTAGACTAAGTGTCAGAAACTATGTTGAAATTCAACTCTGTGGAAGAATATAAGAAAGAATTATTACAGGTTACTGCTTTTATAAAAAAATACAGCTACTCTGTTTCTAAATGAGCTCATTAGTCTGTGTAGAGGAAACAGAATAAAGACTAAAAACAGGGGAGAAAGGTTAAAAGGAAAAAATGTATTGACACAATACAATAGTCTCACAATTATCTAAAGTGACTTAGACATGGCTACTAATAAAAAGGCCACTTAATCTGGTATTACAGACCTTCAAATAGAAATGGTTCTGGAAAAGCACAAAGACACAATACCATGGGTTCAGTTGAAAGAATTCATTCAACATTCATTCAGAAAATATTGAGCATTTACTATGAGGTCAGTTACAAGACCACAAGTTGGAAAAGTGTAGTCCGTGCTTGGTCTCATGGACCTTACTTCAGTGGGGAACACAAAGTAAACAGTGATGACATACAGTGTGAACCAGGACCACAGGTGCTCACCTGAGCAAAAGGCCAGCATCTGAGCCAGACTGGGCAGGGAAGAGGGCCCAAGCAGGCTAAAAAGCTGCAGCACATGGTACCTCCAGAGGATACAACACCTATGCTAAATGTTAATGTACTACAAGTTAGCTGAAAGAAACATGCCGCTCCTCAGAGAATGCAGCACATGCAACAGAGATAAGGCAACTTCACTGAAGCTGACGGGACCAGCTCAAAAAAGACATGTCATGTCTAACTATGAAGTTAGACTTTATCCTGCAAGTTCACAGAAAGTCACAAAAATGAAAAGGTAGGAAGTAACTGAAAAACCATCTGGCAAGCAGAATGAAAACAATTGTTGACAAAGGAATCTTTGAGACTAGAGGACAACACAACCAACACTCAAAGTTTATACGATGGGGAGACACTCCCTGAAAGAAAATTTTGGCCAGTGTCCAAAGGAGAAAAAAAAACTCCTTAGTCAGTGACTAAAAAAAATTTGCTGCTAAAAGTTCCCATTAATACTACAACAAAGGAGCCTCCCTGGTAGCCTAAGTGAATGTTAAGCCTCAGCACTTTATCACCACGCTGGCCTGACTTTGATTTCTGGCCACATACGGAAGAGCAGACCTTGCCTGTCTCAGCCGCTCCTCCCCTTAGCAATGTATTTCAGTGAAATCTGTCTCTATCTCTGGTGAATCCTCTCACCATCCACACCTCAGACCTACAACTCAGTTCTATAAAAAAAAAAAATAATAAAATCTTACAACTCAGTTCTATAAAAAAAAAAAATAAAATCTTAAAAAAAAAAAAGCCACAACTATGAAGACAGTATTCTCTCAATCATACAGATAAAACAAAACAACAAAGCAGGGTCTTCCTGGTGGCCTAGGGGTTAAGTTTCACAGCAATGGCCAGAGTTGCATCCCTGCCCAGGGAGCAGACCTCTCCTGCCACATCTGCTGCTCCCCTCAGCAGTGTATTTCAGTAGATCTACCTGTTCTGCTCCCCACTTGGTCCCTGGTGAATCCTCTCACCCCAGTTCTTCTACACAAAAATAAGTAATAAAAATCTTAAAAATCAAAAGCATAGAGATGTTAACTAACTTAACCAAGGTCAGCTAATTAGTGATGGAGAAGGGCTGCTTCTCAGTCAAGTTCTTAACCACTATACTATTCTGTTCTACTAAGAACTGTGCCATCATCAACCAGGCAAAAGTGATTACAATGGGCTGAAGTTATTTAGTGGCAACAGATACTGAAAAAAGGGGAAAGCATAGGTTTGTTTCTTAAGGAAATAACATTCAAATGGATCATCCAGTATGCTGAAAAGACAAAACTCATTTTGAAAAAAGCAGAGCTAGCTGGACTGAAGTCAAATAACAAAGAAGTCCAGAACCCACCACAAAGTCTTCCCTTTGCCTGCCATCAGCGTGCTGGACTGTGGCCCCCGACTAGCCGGGTTCCGGAGGATATGATGCTCCAATATCACTGAACAGAGGGAAGTTAATAAGACCTATAGGACATGAACTTCAAACTGCGGGGGTGGGGTTTGGAGGGGTTAGGACTGGTAAGTGCTATCACCAAGGTAGAAAAAGGAAGAGGAGGAGGTTATGCTGATCTTACTCTGAATCCACCTTTAACTTAAATTTAATAAAGTTGCCCAGTAGGTCAAGAGCGCAAGATAACTACCAAAGGAGTACAGAGATTCGAGGGTGGAGGGGTCACAAGCTCACACAAGGTCTGGTAACTGCCACAGCAGGGACAAAAATGAGTTCATAAAGTGAAAGCTTCAACTGTAGGAAGCAGACAGTAAGTAAAATAAAATGCATCTTTTTAAGTGAAGTACTCCCATTATGTTTTCCTATCATAAATGAATACCGCTGTATGATTTATATTTGTTTCTGTGAAACAGAACACTGGTTTGGTAACTCAGTAACATTGTAAGCATGGAAAATGGCCTTATATCTCCCAGGTCTCTGTTTAGATATAGGAGATCATTTCCAAAAGTAATACAGATTTTTAAAGAAGTGAGGCTACAGATCCTAACTGGAGGGTATGAGCCCTTCAGAATTTTAGGAATTATTTGTTCTTGTTCAGACTAACAGAAATATATACATCACTCCTCCCAAGAAGTGTCCACATAAACAATTCTCAGAAGTCTGTATAGTTTCCAAAAATCAATGAGTTCTATGTAAATACCTAAAGATTGAGGGAGGTTAAAGACACTTAGTTAACACTTATCCTATTCTAGTAGAAAATTCCTATTTGTGATCTATTCATTAGGGAACTAAACCTAAACCAAATCATTGTATTCAAAGTCCAATCATCTCCCTGAATACACCGTTTCCACATTAGCCGAGGGTTTGTCCCTTAAAAGCAGCTAGAATGCGACGACGCACCAACCAGTAAGTTACAAACATTTCCTACCAGACAGTGCTCGCTGCAGTCTCAACAGTTCTTCCACTGGTACCCCCTGAGGAAGGCTGCCCTCCCCCTCTGCCACAGCTTCACTCTGCTTCACAGCATACTCCTGCAATTTACTACATTCCAGTTTTAAGCTTTCACATTCTTCAGTCATGTGTTTGTTTTCCACACTTAGTCGTTCTTGTTCCTTCCTCAAAACATCTCTGTCATTTTCTGCAGAAGATAATTTTTTACTTATGTCTTTTATTTTATCCTCAAGTTCTCCAACTTTCTTGTAGATTCAACTTTTTCAGTTTGTAGAACTTGAATAGTATTGTGCATCTCATGGATTTTAGAGTGATCAGTTACTGTAGTTCCTGAGTCAGCTAGAATACAAACATAAAATAAAAAAAATCAAATGTCAAGTACCAAGAGATGAATAGCATGCTATAGGCAACAAATAGACCTAACAGACTTCAGAACCTGAAAAGGTTAAAAAGAAAAGTTAAAACAACAATGACACCTAACACCACACACCTGTGAGTAGTGGAACACTAATGCCATTCAGTGCTGGTGAGGACATAGCACAAGAACTCTCATTCACTGCTGGTGGGAATGCAAATGGTATAGTCACGCTGGAAGACAGTTTAATGGCTTCTATAAAACTAAGCATACTTTTATCATGTGATCCAGCAATCACAACACACCTTGATACTTACCCAAAGGAGATAAAATTTATAACCCATGCAAAAATGTGAACAAAAATGTTAATATAGCAGTTTCATTCATAAATGCCAAAATTTAGAAGCAACCAAGATGTCCTTTAGTAAGTGAATGGGTAAACTGTCTTACATCCAAACTATGAATTATTATTCAAAGCTAAATAGAAACGAACTACGAAGTCATGAAAAAGATATGGCATAGACTTAGGAACATGTTAGTAAGTAAAAGAAGCCAATATGAATAAGCTACACACTTTTATGGTTCCAACTACACAACATTCTAGATAAAGTAAAGCTGAAGGGACCCTCCCTGGTGGCGCAGCGGGTTAAAGCACAGCACAAAGAAGTTTAAACCACTTCCGCATGAGTTCGATTCCCGCCTGCCCCGGAGGTGATCCACATGGCGTGGCAGACCTCTCCTGAACCGCCCGCTGCTCCCCTCAGCAGTGTACTCATTGATCTGCCTGTTCTGCTCCCTGCTCTATCTCTGGTGAATCCTCTCACCATCCACACCTCAGACCTACAATTCAGTTCTATAAAAAAAAAAAATAATAAAATCTTACAACTCAGTTCT